TGAAAATGTTCTCATCTCAAAACCATAGAACATATAATAGTCACCCAAGTCAATTAAAAATCAACAGTAGACTTCTCACATAAAGAGTTCACTTATTTGCATTCCAAACCGATGGACGTATGTTGGACAACCAACTCAGTCTTCATATCCAGCTGTTGCATGACCTCCGCCCTGGCTGTGGGTCAGAGGTCACATCCAAAGCTGACCAAGTTCTGTGCAGTTATAACGGACCAGCTGGGATCCCTGTCTGCAGCCTCTCATTTCTCTCACGGATTTGAGCATTAATACAACTCAGTGTTCTGCAACACCTGCAGCCTTAACTGGACCAATAACCAATGAGTCTGTGTGTGACCCTCAGCAATATTGTACCCTTTGTGTTTCTTGTATCTTTTTTCAGGTGTGTGACTCGGACACAGTTTTAGACCCAGCATGTACCATAGAAATGCTGAAGATTCTTGAGGAAGATCCGATGGTGGGAGGGGTCGGTGGAGATGTGCAGGTAATATATAAAAGAACTGACAAGTATAATGAAGCCCCAAGACTAAATTTTTTGTTTGAAAGTCAACTTAGGCCACCTAGGGAGGTGACTGAAAGCTCATTACAAAAAAGCTGTAAAAGTACAGTTAACCGTTGGGATTTTCCTTTTCTATCTTTCTCCAGATCCTTAACAAGTACGACTCATGGATCTCCTTCCTCAGCAGCGTGCGCTACTGGATGGCCTTCAATATTGAGCGAGCCTGCCAGTCCTACTTTGGATGCGTCCAGTGTATCAGTGGCCCTCTGGGGATGTACAGGAGCTCCTTGCTCCAGCGCTTCCTGGAGCCCTGGTACCACCAGACCTTCCTAGGTTCTAAGTGCAGCTTCGGCGATGACCGCCACCTCACCAATCGGGTGCTCAGCTTCGGCTACAAGACAAAATTCACAGCGCGATCACAGTGCCAGACTGAGACGCCGACCCAGTATCTGCGTTGGCTCAACCAGCAGACTCGATGGAGCAAGTCTTACTTCCGTGAGTGGCTCTACAACGCCCTGTGGTTCCACAAGCACAGCCTCTGGATGACCTATGAGTCTGTGGTCACTGGCTTCTTCCCTTTCTTCTTGGTTGCCACAGTCATTCATCTTTTCTACCGTGGAAGGCTGTGGAACATCCTGCTCTTTTTATTGACAGTCCAGCTGGTTGGGATGGTGAAGGCCACCTACGCCTGTTTTCTGCGTGGCAGCCTGGTCATGATCTTCATGTCGCTCTACTCTCTGCTCTACATGTCCAGCTTGCTACCTGCCAAAATATTTGCCTTGCTCACCATCAACAAGGCTGGATGGGGCACTTCAGGCCGCAGGAAGATCGTTGTCAACTTCATTGGTGCCGTGCCTGTCACGGTGTGGGCTATGGTGCTGCTCGGAGGTGTGGCATATACAATCTACTGTGAAACACAGGAGCCATTCAGTGAGACAGAGAAAGCCTTGTTAATAGCAGGGACGATACTCTATGCCTGCTACTGGCTCATTCTACTGGTGCTGTACCTGGCAATTGTAGCCAAACGGTGTAACAAGAGGGAAGAGCAGTATCACCTGCCATATGCAGAGGCATAAACCTGTCGCCAAACTGGGAGGACTTTTGCTCTGATGATTCTAACAAGGTCTTTGCTGACCCTGTGAACTGCTCGAGTGATGAGCTGTGAACCAGGAACACACACATCTTCATCACTGGTGCTAAAAAGTTGTGAATCTGAAATTGGAGCAGGATTCTGATCCAATTGGTGGAGATTCAGAGAGATGACTGGATCCATACAGCTCTATTTATATCATGCTCTATGGTGCTTCACAATGAAAACCAAACAGAACTGCTCCAGTTTATAAAGTGTTGTCACAGTTGTAATAGTGACATGCTCAGAATAACATTAGGTAGTTTATGGGTACAGGTTAGCTGTAAAACTGTGACAAAAGGTGCAGTACGGTGCTTTTTGCTTTGAATATAAAGCAGAAGATGGACAAGATAAGACTAAGAGACAAAAAGGTCTTACTACTGGTTGGTCAGTTTTTCATGTCATTTTAATAAAGATGAGATGGGATAAAGTATGTTGGAACTGAGCTTTTACAATATATAACAATAAACAAAATATCAAGGAAATTCTCACAAATTAGTCAAAGCACCTCTATTTCAAGAAGAGGGAACCTCAACACTGGCAAATTCTAATGGTGCAATTGCCTGCAGAGTCCGTGCAATGGGAAAAATTGTCAACTTGAGTGTAAAAGTGCGCGTTGATCTCAGCGAATCTACTTTATAAAAGTATCTAGACACAAAACACAAAGGGAGAGACAACTGAAGGAAACAGAAAATACTGAAGTTCTTGGTGAATTCTGAAAAATCAGTCAGGGATGACATACGGACAGCCATGCCACACACACTGTTTGTGAGTAGCTAGCTACAGCTAACGTCTGTGAACAGACTGCAAAAATAGTACAGCAACATTCGGTTGTATTCTGTTCAACACACCTTAAAGCAAAGGTTAGGATTTTAGATCTGTTTATACTGTTATACAAGATGTTTGGTTGCTGTAATCATTCCTCCTCTCTGTGAAGAAGGTGAAGTGATGTATTTTTAATGCATCCACAATTGTAAATTATATGAAGTGTTGGCCAAGTTTCTTAAAAGTTATAATCAAGTATCACGTTGAATGCTCCTCACTTGCATAAAGTAGCTTAGCCTCTACTTTATTTTATTTTTTTTTTAAATTAGGGGCATCCGGAACTACAACTCGCCGCCTCTGGAAACTCACAAAAAAAAAAAACTTTCTGCAGTAGGTAACGTTAGTTTTTATAAAAATATTTTGTTGTATTTGCTGAAACTTATCATATTCCTGACAGTAGTACATGAGGAAGATAATCTGTGAAAAATTGGTTCCTCTGGCCTCACGTTGGGCTGTGCAGCATGTTTCAGAAGGTCTCGTTGCAGATCCGCAATGAGTTAAGAGAAGGAGACAAAAAAGGAAACAATTTAACCACTAAACCGATGAGTTAGTTCAACTCAAACTGTTTGAGAAAAATGATTTAAGCACGTAACTCACGTATTTATTGTTATGGTAGCTTTGGTAAATTAAATTAATTGTACCAATACCATTCAGTTAATTGATGTTACACTCATATGCAGCATTTCTCCAAACTTTTTAAAAATGTGTTAACAGAATTTATCTGATTAAACTATAAAGCATTATAATGCTTACATTTTTATAATTATATAATATGTACAAACTGGAATTATATCTCTAGTACTTAAAATGCTGCACACATTCAAGTGCACTCAAAACAAGTGAGATGCTTATACAATTCATTTTTGAGTGGGGTTTAATTCTTGTAAATGAGTGACTCCAATTTTTTGAAGGATTCATTTATGTTAACTGACTTATTTTATTAAGATGTGTTGACAGGTTTTACAGCTCTGTAAAACCAGATAAGTTAATTTAACAACAAAAGTGCTGAAACTTATACATCAAAAACTAACGTAAAACTAACTCGATTTCGTTGTTTTATCTGTACACAAAAACAACATACATCAACGAAAAATGACCAAATCGACAAAATTTGAGCAGGTGGACAAAATCTAGCAGTCAAAGTTTTGGAAGGCTCGTGCAGGACTGACCAAAACAGCGTTGCAGACGTGTTGTCACAGAGCCATGCCCAGTGGAATCAAGACCTTACAGCGTAGTGATGTTAGGAAGGTATTGCTACTCAGCCAGTATGGACAGGAGGAATGATTACGAGTGACCTAAAGCTCTTCTTAGTACATATGGGGATGTATCAAGATAGACGTGAAAAAATACAAACTTATCCTTTAAAAGTGTCTATATTATGACAGGCTACCACTTAAAGTTACCAATATTCAGGAAATACAGATAATATGAGTTCTCTTGTCACACTACTTGTAGTGTCTTCGGGGCAGCTTGCGGGGTTACTCCTCCACTCTGAGACCAGCCCTCATGTGCCCTCATCAAACAGAACAATCATCCACTCCAGCTGTATGTTGCGGAGCAGCTATGATTTACCAGAACAGACAATCTAACATTTTTGAACATGTGTAAGTGCAGCTGTACTTTTGGTGCTGTTGAGCTGCAAGTTATTGTTGTGCATCATGTTCCAATTCTCAGTTTACAATGGCCCCTAGTTTCATTCAGTGTCACTTTTATAGTTTATAAAGGTGCCAAATCACGTTTATGTAACAGTAATGTTTTACTGCTGGACACTTTTGGACATTTGTGTCCTTTTACACTAGATGTAGCCTTTGCTTATTTCTCCCATCAACAACAGCGTGAAGACTCAAGACCAAAGAGATTTCTTCTGAAGTGAGAGACTTTTCATGTTTTAAAATTTTGTATGATATTAGATCAGACAGATTCAGTTCTGGTATGTTTAGTTAATTTGCCAAGTGCTAAGTGTGAACACCATCAAGCATATGTGCCTACACTGACAGCTGTCTGTTTGTTTTGGCCGGTGGACGTTTCCTCTTTCTGCCATTTAGGTTTTATTCATATTGTTTCACTGTGAGCAGGCTGTGTAAGTTGAAACTTGAAAGTTCAAAAAGTGCAGACACATTAAGAGAAAATTGTGTTTAGGCTTGGTTAGCCTCTCTGAGGGTTCACCAGCAATGCAAGAGGTCTTGTTTCTCGATCTTATGCTGCTTCCATCTCTGGGCACCACAGGATATTGGAATTTTCCTAAGTCATTAAAAATGCATCCCAACACAATCCTCGCATTCATACCAAACAGAATGTCTGATTTAAATGACTGCATTGACATGTTCCTATGCTATCTCTTTCAATATTCTGATTATATCTTTTGTTCACTGTGTTGTATGTTCACTTAAAAAAAAAGAAATACATTTTAAAAATAATTAATTGGAGTAGAGCATCAATGTTTTAACTCAGCTTTTTTTCACAGCCCAGTCCAGTGAATTTAAGTACTGCTTCATCTACACCACCATTTATCTTCCAGATGGATTTAACCATTACTCATCTAAAAATTTATATAATAGGGAATGTTACTATATTTTCATACAATTGACTTTCGGTGAGATTTGCATTCATACTACAACCAGATGGAGCGGCAAAAACTGGACGTTCCAACCATTTATCCAGTACTTCTATTTATTTCAACCGATTATATTGGAAGCCCTGAATCTGAGCTAAATTGTTTTCTCTTATTTCTTAAAGGTTCAGTGTGTAACATTTAGGAGGATCTATTGGCATGGAATAAAATATTTTCTTTAGTGTATAATCATCTGAAATGTTTTTGTTATCTTAGGATGAGCCTTTTTTAATCTACAGTCTTCCATGAAGCCTGAAATGATGAGCCGGCATATTTCTACAGAAGTCCAGACCGGACACTGTAGTTTCTCCTTCCTGCTTGGAAGGGGAGTGTGAAGCGACACAGTTTCAATCTGCAACTACACCACTGGATGCCACTAAATCCTACACACTGGACCTTTAAGAACAGGTGAACTTTTGCCAAGATAATCTTACTATGTTCCTTATTTTTTTCTGTGTGAGAAAAAAGGCAGGTCAAAGTGTTAATTATTGTAATTAGGTTCACCACTAGCACATATGATAAGTAGGACTGAAGGTATTCATTTTTTCTTGGCAAGTCTTAGTTTTGCACCAATTAAAATACATGACATGACATTGCTAACACGCAATAAATGTACATAGTGTTTAGAGTACATGGGAAGAGGATATATGCTAACTGTAGATTGAACTGGTCATTCTAAGGTAATGAAAACACAAATCTTATATTCAGGTGATTATATTATCCATTTCTGCCTCCTGAAACAATTAAACATTCAACATTAAAGGCCTAAAATACATGCTACTCTCGCTACCACTTCATCCAATCAGGAGAGAGAACTCCACACAGGTGGTCTTCTCTGCGTGTTCAAGGACAGGCAGCAGAATTTCAGCGCTAACTGTAAGAACTGGACAGGAAGTTAGCCAAAATGCAAAGTTCACTTACAGCACATTTAAAGCCACCGTGAAAAAGAAAGCAGTGTGCGTTGCGCCCCCACCACTACGCAGCGGCTGCTGAGCCTGGTTCTGTTGCTCACTGACGGCAGATACACTTAGCAGCAGTTAATTAGCGGTTAGCTACAGAGTCATTAGAGGGAAAAGCAAAAAAATATTTTCTCCAGAAAATGCAGGATGAATCATCATAATTTTTCCCCTAGGAAATTAAAAACTATGGGTTGTAAAAACTATGGGTTGCTCAATCTAGATGGACAACAGTCTTATTTGCAAACGTCTGTGAACATAGTCTTATTTGATCTAAATTAAGACTACAGGACTTGATGAAAAGCTGCATTATTTTACTGCATCCAATGTATTTCATTCCATGAAAAAAATGACTACAGACAAATATCCGTTTTATTGAGGAAGTTGAGAAATGCCAGTCACTGAAAATGACTGAGCTTTGCCTTTAACAACATGGTTCTAGGGGATAACTTCGAAAACATGTTCTCTCTCTCTCTCTCTCTTTCTCTCTCTGTGTGGCTGAATGAATTAGTCCCTTCAGTAACCCTTTTTACTTGTGGGGATACACCTCAACACGGGAACCGCCCTCATCAAACACACACACACACAGAGTAAATATTCTATATGTCAGAATGCTAGAAGACATATTGAGTCACATATTTTACATGTTTATCGCCAAACTGATCTCTCACTTTTTCATGAATATGTGCAGTGCTGCTCTAAACCCAGCTTTACTAGCATCACATTCATATACAGCTGATTGACCCTTCATAAGCCCTGCCCCTTTTTAGGACATCTGTCAACTTCCTCCTTTCCTGTACTTAGATATGCTATGTGCTAGGTTAATCTATGTTGAAAAGACAACCACATTTTGAAGACGGTTAAAAAAAGTGATATATACAGTGGCGGACTGGCCATCGGGGGCCCGCTCGGCGATTGCCGATGGTCGGGACCAAAGGCTCGGTTCGGGTCGCGCTTGATTTTTAAATAAACAATCCGTCGAAGCTCACACAGACTGAGCAGCAACGTTGGGCACAAACACTACCGACCCCCTCCTCTCTTTTTCTGAGGCTCTCCTGTCACATGCACTGCAGGCACACACACAACACACAACACAGCACACCACCACACCACAGCAAAGTTGCCCCCCGTCTCGGTTGCCCCTCCTGCACCTGTGACGTCTCTATACATGCTTGAAAAACTGCGACGCGATGAATGGACAGCCCAAGTGGAAAGGTGGAGGCAGAGACGGGAAGAGGCCCTTACAAGCAAGCTAACAAAGCATCTGGCCCAGTTGCACAGCGAAGTGCTGTAAAATAACTGACATGTTTGTCAGTAAGGGAGCAGTAAGCACATTAAACAGCTAGTGGTGACAACAGACGGCAGCAACCAG